TAGGGCTGGAGATGGCGGTGAGAGTGGAGGAGGGGAGCAGAGGAGGAGAGGAAGTCTTCATTAGAATATTATAGACTCCTGGTGCCAATATGTTCAACATATGAAAAGAAATGTGTTCATAAATATGAGATAATCATGAGGGCCGGGAAAAACAAATGTTAAACCTGAAAAAATGATTTTTGAAAATATCGAGATTTAAGGGTTTATCGGTGAGTAGCTGAAGTTTTCCAGGTAGTTGGACTCATGGGAATTTATCCACATTCTTGGCAGTTTAGCCAGCAGTGTCATTTTATTTTGACACTGAGTGTACCCAGGGAAACCCACATTCTGTCTTTCTCATGTCTGAACTACTGCTGCCAAGATCCTGCAGTTCTTCTGTCAGATGAGAAGAAGTGTGGCTTTTTGTGGAGCCACCTTTCACAATAATGGGCCTTGTGTAAAGAGTTCCCATTTTCTAGATGCAGTGAACCTGATGAGAACTTGACATTCATCCACAGCTATGCCAATCAGTATTTCAGCTGTACTAAGTTCATTGGCAATGGTTTTTCCTCTTCCTTTGAATTCCTGGAAATGGTAAAGAATATACTGTCATGAGAAAGAAAGTGATGATACAATTAAGAATTATGGAGGTGGAATCTCAGGGGAAAAAACAAAAACCAAAAAACAAAAAACTTCCCAGTCAATATCAAATCCATAATATTTTCTGCCTAGGTTTGAAAGCTTGCCAATTTCTTTAGCATCTCTCTTTAGCCCCATTGTTTTCCTGCTGCACACATTCCTCTAGTCTCACTGTCTACATCTTTCTTTCTCATAAGAACTCCAGCCAGGTGGTAATTCTCACCATTGCCCTTTCCATATTTGCTGTTCTTTTCCAAGTCTATTCAAGTTCTTCCTCAGAGCCAAAATGAGAATAACCTAGTAAATGTAATACTAGCTCAAATGTTTAAAAATGGGTTTAAAGTGAAAATTTGAATTTTGGCACTTAACAACATGTAAGATCTGGGCCAGTAGGTGACTGGATCTATGTGACCAACTGCACAGTTGAGTCCCACACCTGGTAGCTTGAAAAACACACTGGATATGCATGCTTGCATGCCCAAAATCCCAAGAGGAGAATGGAAAGAAAGGGATTGCAGCATGACCATACCACCTGGGAATGGCTTCCTTATTGTCCTTCTCTGTGTCTCACTGGAGAACACACATGCCCTTAATAAATTTTTTAAAAATATATAAGATTATGTAATAGTAGAGATATTTTGGAAGTCCCTATATTTGATTCCCTGTTGATGTAGTTGGAATCCCTTCTGTTTATGTGAAATAGAATTGTTTAAGGGATCCAATGTTAGAAAAAAATTATAGTTCAGTATCAAAACCAAAACGAAAGAACCAGACATTATCACAGGTAGAGAGCTGAGACAGGATAACTTGAGATTTGAGAAATGCTTGACAATGACCAATGCAAGGCCTAGTACCAGGTGCTGGAGAAGTGCCTCCTTTTCCTGGTCTCTGGCATGGAGACGGAAGGATAGGATGGATTTTTTGCCTTTTATTAAAGGTTAAATAGATATCAAAACTTTCTTCTAATGGAATAAAGTAAGAGACTCTATTACAATCCAATTTGGTATTACATATGCATGAAAAACTAAGGGGAATACTTTTTTCATGGTGCAAACACACACCAAAAAAGATATATTCTCTTTAAATAGTGCCTGACTTTAATACCTAGCCCTTTTACTTCATTCAGTTGTATAAAGAGGCTGCACCATAATTGCCAAGAGAAATGAATCATAATGTTGTGAAGAACTGGGCAGAAATACTTGGTCATACACACAGCCAGCTTACTTGTGATAAATTATGACAGTCACAAAAACGTTTGAAGTATAAGAAGATTAGATATTCCTCCCACAATTTTGTTACAAGGCAAGGATAATATTACTATTAATAATTTCTCAGATTAAATTTTGCCATATATATAAATATTAACTAAATATTTACTAGTAAGCACAGAATAATTTATGAATCTACCTTGTAAGTTCAAAGAAATTTCAAATTCTCTGTGATTTTAGGTGTCAATGTCACCACCTTATATAAAAAATGTTCGATTTTGGCAAATGTAAAGATTCCTAAAGCAGGAA